TCTTCAGTTTCACTCAAACGGTTTTCCAAGCTTATGATGAGATTTTAAGTTCCTCTATATCTCTTTGACTCTGCTTCATGTGATCTACTTCTTTCCTGTATTACTCATTCAAGGAATCCATCATTTTTCTAATTTCCTCTATTTTTTTTTATCAGTGTCTTCTTTAGAAGCAGTTATTAATTCTTTTCCTGCAGAGTTTTTTTCAGATTGGGTTTCTCCCTATGTTTTTGTAGTTGAGTCTTTACTTCAGATGCTATGAGTTCAGAGAATTCTTTTTTCATTTCAGAAATTAATTCCGCTCTTAATTCCTCTATATCTTTCTGCTGTTGCTTATTTACTTTTGATGCTATTAATTCCTACATTTCAGCTGAGCTAGTGTCCTCTGCACTTGTTCTTGGTTGGTATTGAGTTTCCTCCATATGTTTCTACATTTGATTCTTCAGATGTTATTAATTCAGGGATTTCTTTTATTTCAAATCTGAGTTCCTCTATAACTTACTGGAGTTTTTTCTTTATTTCAGAAACTGTTGATTCATTGATTTCAGCTGTGTGATTCCCAATTTGTTCTGTGGTAGTGTCCTCTGCACTTGTTATGGGTGGGCTTGGGGTCTGAGATTACAGTTTGCTCCTTCTCATTGTCATTTTGTATAGCATTGTGTTCTGATCTTTGTTGTAGAGCTTTGGTGCAGTTATATCCTTAGTACCAATCGAAATTCGGGTGCAGATATACAAAGTTTGAATTTATCCAGTTGTGCCTGGCTTGATTCTGGCTGCTATGCTTAGCTCCTTCCTGCTACAGCCCTTGGGAATGAACCTGTTGTGCCCCTCTGGCAAGATATTCTGCTCCTGGACTAGCTGGGTGGTTCTGTCCTCTACTCTCTCTGCAGGGAGTGCAGCTGCAGAGTTTCACCCCAGGCCTGTATGCCAGGCCTGAACTGAGTCTGAAGGGGACAAGGGGGAGTAGGGGAGAGGGGAAGCTTTCCAGCATACTCACCCGGCCTTGGCTAAGGCTGGATCTGGGTGTCCCGAGAACACAGCAGAAGTTCTCACTCACTTCAGTGGGCTTGCGGGGGGGGGGGGGAGCCCTGCGGGATGAGGGGATCCCAATGGTGTGGAAGTGGGTCTCACTCACACTGCGCCTGAGTTTGGACTGACAGGTCCCGTGGGCACCAAGGCATTTCTTATTTCCAAAGAGCATCTCAAGAAATTCATGTTCATCAAACCAATATTTTGAAAAATTCTCAAGAATATTCTAGGAGAAAATGGAATCAACAAAGTCAGCAGGTCAGTATTAATATGCTAAAAATATTAATATGCTGAGCTGTAAAAGGCTGAAGTTAAGAACTTCTGACATGCCAGTGCTGCGGATAACCCACTACTATTATGGACTACTGGACTATATTGGATTACTTTGCTGAACTCATACA